TGTTTCTTTAGAAACTAACCCCCTTTATTCATTATGTTTTTAGAAGTTTGTGTTCAAGACCTTGCTGGGTTATTGTGTTGTGTTTTTTGCCCAAACACTTAACTCTCACAGTGCCTCTCTTCACCCAGGAGTACAAATGGGAACTGGTGAATTGTTAAGGTAGCCTGACAAAATACTGGGAGGGAGGGGAGAGGGAGGCATAACCTGCAATGGACTTGATTCTCATCCACCAGGGTTGTAACTTTGTGCTACAGAAACTGGGATAAGCTTGCAGCCAGATGGTGTAAGTGCAGACCTTTTAAAATTCTGTTAATCTGACAAATTTTACATTTTACTTTCCTTATGTTGCAATTTTTAACAATGTGAAATCCCTTTATTTCCATGAATGCTGCTTTTCACACATGCTTCACACATGTTCTGTTTCCATTCCTCATCAAACAATTTCTGTCAGCAAAAGATAGCTGGTTCACTTGGTTTCATTTATAACACATTTTGGTGCCTGCAAATATATCACCTAATCTGTGGCAGAAAGCTCACAAGTTTACATAGTGAAATACAGTAAGAGAATCTTTAAGACATTTGTCAAGGGCAATTAACTTTGTTCCAAACGGAGTTCCACAAGAATGGTACTAACCTGTTGAAAAAAAATTATTGCTTTTCTGAGTTTTACTATTATACTAAATTTGATCTTCACTCACATCAAACATGAACATGTCGGCTGAAAATGTAGCATCCACCCAGCTATGCCAAAAGTACATTCTGCACTAAAAAATAACCCTTGTTTCAACTGATGTACTGTCCCAATCACATGTCTTCAGTGTCCATTTATATGCATATGTCTGTGCAGCAGCCTTGTTTGCTAACATGGTAAATTGTTTGTTCTCAAAGCCATTTGAGCAGTTTTTCTCCTAAAGAGAGAGTTGAGATTGTGATAAAAAATAACATTTGCCTGAACAAGTTTACCTTTTTTAAGTAGAGACTGTTTTGAATTTCCAAAAAGGTCAGGGGTCGATATTTACTATGTAGGAAGTTATGAAGGTGGAGACATTAAAGCTTATTTATGGAAATTCCATGGGATGTAGGTTACACAGAAGAACCATCTATGGAGGTAAGAACAAAATTGTGTTCCACAAAGGCATTATGGCACACCCATACCCTTGGAAAGACCACAGAGAGGTAAATTAAGACCTTTCCTTTGGAGCTCTTGAAAATGTTATGAGAATATATCTTTTAAATAAGCTTGAAATTGATTTCCATTGATAAATGACATTCAAAAACATTATTGGCAAAAAATGGGTGGATTTTTTTGAGGGGCTCACATGGTTCCAAATAGAACAGAGACAAAGGGGGACCATGAAAAGAAGAAGAAAAACTTTTGAAGCGATAGGATCAACTTTTTTTAGTTTGCTTACCCTTGGATAGCCTCCTTGTCCGATTCATCAGCAGAGTTTTTGTCCGAGCTTGACTCTTGAGTTCTTTTTTCGTTAAAACTGGCTACTATTACCTGCGTGTTACCGGTAATGTTTGCATTAAAAACGACTTTTTCTTGCAGCCATAGCAGCGGGCGGAGATGAAAACGCCAGACCAATTTCCCAGTTAACTCAACATTAATGGCTGCGATGCTTGTAAAATTATTATTTTTGATTGTATCAAACGCCTCTCCAGCTACCTCTTTCGAGGGGAGGTTTTCGAGAAGCAAGTATGCCCTCTGTTGTTGTTCAGATTTATTAGGGTTGTCAGCTTATTTGGGACTTACTGAAATTCTTCTTGGAGTACAACAACTCTTTCTTGGGCTTTCTGAAAATATTTCAGCTCGTCATTTGCAAAGGGTTTTGGAGTATGGTCTTCTCTATGGACTTTTCACTCGCTTTTGATGAATGATAGCAAATCAGCAGCGAATTTCAAGGTGTCATATACCGGTGGCAAAGCGAGACTTACTTTAAACAAAGTCATCGCTGCTCTTGCAACTATCCACACCTCAATGAATTCTGTGATGTGTTTTGACCAACTCCTTACTTCTCGTTTCTTAGATGATTGTTTTCCCTATCTAAAATTTCTTTTTTGTATGTGTTTAACTGCCAGGACATTTGCAGTTGTTTAGGGAGACACCGTTTGAATCCACCTTGTTTACGACAAAAAGCAGATTTATATTTCTGCTTAACAACATTGTTGTAAAATTTTAACTTATCAGTATGTGGGTTAGGAAGCAAATAAGAACACTAGCTTTTTGTGGTGGCTGAGAGAGAAGAAGTGGGGGTACCAGGAAATCTTCCACCGTTAATGTAGGGGGATCAAAAAAACATTCTATACTTTAAGAGGGGATGACGTGAATGCTCCGTTGTTGCAACAAAAATTATCCGCACCTCCCCCCCCCCTCCCCCCTCCGGCGATAAATCATGACCGGTCTTGAACAATGAAATGAGTTTTACATTTCAGTTAATGAGTACGTCCCACCTCTTGATATTAATACACTACCAGCTCTTCTCCTTGGGTTATTTCGACGGAAAAAGAGACGAGTTCGAGGATATGCTCGAAAGGTTTCTTCTTATTAGTTCCACGTGCTTTGTAAAGAAGGCCTTGCACTTAAAGGAGTTAAATCACAAGAGGTTTCGAAAAATGGTAGCCAGTTTCTTTTATGTTTAGCTGATTTTTTTGCCTTTATCAATTCGGTGTGGGCAGTTGTAAAGACTTGATCTTTTGCCGCAATTTTGTAAAAACTTACGCAATGCACCGGGCGTAAAAGTGTTGAAATATTTAAAAGTATTTCATATATAGAAAAGCCCTTGGAAAACACTCCAAGTGCGTAATCTAGTATACCTAAATACTTTTTCAAATTATGCATTTGCAGCGTCTCTCGTCCTTGAACACAATGGTGGTAATGTACCGACACAATTTTTTGGCAAACCGTTTACCATCGTAAGTAATGAAACTCGGCATTGCCTCCACGGACCAACAAAGGTGAGACTTCCTTTTGAAAACAGAGTTTGAAATGTAATGAAAAGTACCAGTAGTTTTCGATTTTTACATAACCCGCGGAACTGTTTTAATTTTTCTAGGTATTTTAGTGGAAAATCCATTGAGCTTTTCGCATACTGAGGAAACAAAATCGGTAAGGTCATTTACATCCATTTACTTCAGAATTCCCCATAAACGTAGGGTGTGTACAATTCCTGAAATTCCGTTTCTCATTTCACGAATTATCTGAAGTTTAGTGTTGACAAATTTTTTCGTATTACGTAAGTAAAAAACATTGAACTTCTCTCAACGGACTCAACGCTGCAAGGAGAATCTTTCTCATAATTTTCTTTTTAAGAGACGACATTACCGTCTAAAATTCAAACGTTACTGTTAGGGTTATTAGCGCATTGATAACCTAGTAAATAGCTCAAACATACTGAAAACATTTTTATTAGTTTTGGATATCTTTATCTGTGAGCCACATGTGAGTAAACAAAAACAGAGAAGTATAGTTTGATGGCTTGTTTTCATGAATCTAGGATTTTGGGAATGGGAAGAACTGGTAGTGTATCACGCATGTAGTAATTTTTCTTCTCCTAATGATTGATACTGGAAGAAAATAGTAACGGTGTAATGCCATTTTATGTGCCTGTTATAAAAAAAATTTGTACTCGCATTTATCTTACGGGTAAAAATCCTATGAAAATTGTTCAAAAGAAATATATCTCAGTGGTTATTTTATGACAACCACAAAATACTCAAACAAAATCAAGAAACTGCCGCAGGACCTCAAAGCTCATTTGTTCAGATCGATCTTGAACAATTATTTTTTTAATTTTTCGTGGGGAACAAGTGCTGAAGCTTATATGACGTATTTTAAATTTAACCGCTGTACTATAAACTTGTGTGTTCGACCCTTGACGAACGCCTTCGATATAGCTCTTCGATATATAGCATCCTCACCATAGGGTATACATATAGCATCATCACACCCAGGATGTCTCGAGGAATGTGCTATTCATTTTATCTTTTCATCATTACAAGTAAGTATTAGTATCCCTAGAGGCTTCCCTTCCTAATAAGTACTAGAGGCTTCCCTTCCCAATGAGTATCCACAACTGAAGTAAATTGAGAAAATTAGTTGTCGCACCACGGTAAAAACACTCGGGGTCACGACATGTCTAGCTTTGAGATCGAGACAACGTTTTCAAGAACGCAGCTTTGATAGTTTGAAAATAGTAAGTATCGCTGTTTTCATAGACTCAATTTTCTAGACTTACTTATCTTGAGTAAGTATTGTTTAAAATATCTGTGTAGCATGACAGGCACTCTTCTAGAGGAACAACCACGGATCTAGATTAGAATATTTTACCACTTACACTGAAACATCTCTTGAGTATAGATGATGCTGGGAACTAGAGACTTCGTTTTTCGCTATCTTTTGAGATAATCAAGGCAAATTTGTTTAGTTTCAATTTTCTCCCGAAACTTTTTGCTTACAGAGGCCTAACCTCGTGTGGGGAATGAAAATATTCTAATAATGATTCTCAGTGAAATGTTTGATGCGATTAGAGTTATCTTTCTTTAGTATACTAGGTGCCAATGATTCCTTCCATTTTGCTTTATCAAAGGATTTGAGAGAGAGATAGTCGCGCTGCTCGAGGATCATGGCTACTATATACCGCTAGCAATGTTAGATTGAACAGAATTTGGGACGAGCATTGGTCGATAAATCAGCACAATTAATGAAAAGTTAAGCATGAGGATGGCAGATATCTTCAGATTTAAAAAAAAAACTACAACGAAGAACTACTAAAACAAAGAAGAACATCACAAGAACGAAGAAAATGGCCTGTGCAACGAAATGACTTCATAACTATCAGAGACTACAATGCCTACGCGTACTCCGACATCCATCCGATTACGAAATCCGAGCTCGCCCGATGTTGTCTTCGTGATGAAGGCCTTTGTAGCCTAGCCTCATAACAAGTGACGAAGATACTGATGAAGTGACGGCGGAATCGCTTTCCTATATTATCTGTCTACGCCGACTCTACGATCTCAAATACAGGTAAACTTAAACAATTTATTTCAAAAGTTCCTCCCTCAGCGCGTTTTACTTTGGTTACTTTGGTTTGGTTTGTGATTATTCGTTGTTGGAGTGCACGTGCAATTTTTTGTAAGGTTTCAAGGTTTCACTGAGGAGGTTAAAGACGAAGGACGTAGTGTACGATCGATTTTGAAGGACCTGGCGCACTCTTGAGGGAAAACGGAAAGTTGTGGAACGATTTTTTTAAAATCTTTACTTGAAAGTTCTCCTTCAATCGCTGCTTAAGAACAACAATTAAAAAAATAGTTTACCCTAGTCGCTAAAGCTAAGAGGTATGTTGGGTGGTGGTTTTAGTGGTGGTGGGTCACGGTGAATTTTGTGGTCGCCAGAAGCAAGGTTTATCAAAGAAAAAGTTGGAAAAAAAAAACACCTGATAGCTATTTTTAAGTTTGTAGCAAGATGGATGTAATACACTTTTGTGTGCAAGCTTTGCGATAGTTTTTTTCTTTTTTTTTTCTCATGCAAATCTGTTTGCTTTTAGATTTTTCTCTTCATGGAGAATAATTTGTGTAATAAAGTTTAAAATGAAAAGTACTGATCATTGAAAAGCCAAAAGGCATCCTACCTGTTAAGTGCGTCAATTGACTGAGACAAATAAAGGCAAAAAAACTGCATGTCCAAGAATTTGCGACTCTGGCTAATGTTGTGCGCAGTACAAGATGAGCGCTGTGCTACCAGGGTAATCACCCTGAAAGACTTAAAGCGTGTAAACGATGAGACCGAATAATGTATTTGAAACAACCATGAATTAGAACTTTAAGGTGTAGAATTTTTCATCATAAAAGGAATATAGGCTATGGAGTTTTTGGTTTTCCAAAACCATTGTATTTAATCTTTTTCTTTTGTTTTAGATTGACATAAGCTTAGATGGATCGTCCAGGGAAAACTCCGCAAGAGAATACTGATGACAAGGTACAATCTGTGAACGCGTTGATGTTGTAGAAATATGATGGATGTTAGTAGTAGAAAGTTTTTCTTTATCAGAAACCATAGTGGTTGCATTCAAATTACATTTATTATTGTGAATATTAATCTCTATTACTATGAATCTAGACATCGATAACTGAGAGGCCGGACTGGGTACAGGCAGGGTGCAAGTTAATATTTTTCCTTTTCTGTAAGATTGAGCAATTTGTTCAGCATATAAGTCATAAGACTTGGGTAGAGCCAATGGCTATTCACCACGCTAATGCGTTTTAATTGCAAAATTACTTTACTATTACTGCTTAGGTATATGTGCACGTGTTATAAGTAATCTTTCAAGCAAGCAAGCAAGCAAGCAAGCAAGCAAGCAACACGTTTACTTCTAGCATTAAGAAAGTTGTAGTTTTGCTCCCATCTACACCATTCGTGTTTGTAATTTATTCCTAAATACAGGACTGTTGGTTTAGTGTATTCATTCAATATCTTTGTTATGTAATAGTCTAGTGCGTTATTTACGTAGGATATATACATTTAATAAACTGTCTGGTCCCAAAACAAGCCTCTCTCTGTTGTGGTGTTTAGAATGTTGTGCACTAGGGAAGCAGATGTGTTGCTTAACTTGTCCATTGCTGTTTGATTTAAAATAGTAATTTGTGACCATTCTAATTTTTAATCCTATTCTTATTTGTACTTAAGATTGATATTAACCTGCAAGTTTTCTTTGGTGATTTTACCCATCCATTAATTTTTATCGATTCTTTGTGTTATTTTGGGCCTCCAATGATAAAAGTTTTCTTTTTGATTTATGAGGAGTAATTTTCCCAAAATGAAGAAATCAATCCATCTATCTTCTTGTCTAAGTTCTACAAATTTCCAGCATTACTTATAAAATTTTGAGTGGAAAGATACATTACAGTGCAAGAAAATAACACAAAAATTGTGCAAAGTTTTGCACTGAGACACAGTTTTCTCATAATTTTTAATTATTTTAATTTTTTTCATTTTTGAACAGCCAGCAACTGTCAGAGGGGTAATTATCCCAGAAAACAATGAGGCAAGGCTTGCCCAGCTACAGCAAGCCTTAAACCTATTTAGGAGTGGATTGCAGCTAATTTCTGAAGCCCTCAATACCATGGGACAGATAATTCCACCTGAACCAGATCCTTAATCCTAAGAACAAGGTGAGAAACTGACCTAATCAACACCTTACTTTATTCACTATTTGCAATAAGACAGGTTCTAGGTTACCATTGTCAATAAATGTGGTTCACTTAAGACCCACAGTAAGGGCATTTCCCATGGTAGATTGCCCTTTCTAATATCTCTTGCCCACTTTGTGCATTGTATTCACCAGCACTTACATGCAATTTGTGATTTCAAAATGTCATACAACCTCTCTTAGTTGTGGTGTCTGATTTAGCTCCAAGTCTCATTGGAAAATTGATTCAGAGAAGATTTTGTTTATGGTTGTTGCTTGTAACTGTATTACAAGTACTGCATTCTTAACTTCTTAATGCTTTTAATTACACATGGATCCTCCAGAAATAATGGCTTTGAGTAAATAATTTGTTTAAACTCATGAAGGTATTCCTAGGGTAAGAACGAAGCCCAAACATGTTAGATTGGGGAGTTAAACCACAAGAACACAGAGAAAAACTGCATTTGTGACAATAAAATTTTGAATATGAAAGCAATCTTCGAACTCAAATAAATGTGTGAGAAGCAGGTCCATGGGTTTTCAAAATAATAGAAATATGTCTTTCTGAAATAAAGCAATACAAATTCCTTGATGAAGCACCCGGGTGCTTGTTTAAAATTTCAGCTAAAAAGAGGGACACTTATTGGCAAGTGGGCGCTTAATTGAGGAGGGTGCTTATTAATTTAGCACAGTAATAGAAAAAACATTAAAAGAATAGTTAATGCGCATAAAGGAACTCTGCAAGCACATAGAGATAGAAATAAGTGGTATAGTAAAAAAACTACCCTCCTGTACTGATTCCATTGTAGATAATTTGGTGATAGAAACAGGTTTTCTTGTATCCCTACTATTTAAGAAAGTGAGGAAGGAGTGGGGGAGTTGCTTGTTCTAGAGGGGTGCTTGCCTAGTGGGTGGGCACTCAAGGAGGTAATCCTGTTCGTAGTGGGCTACATTTTTGTAACATCACATTTTTAAACAGGGTTGGGTTTTATCCAAGCTCAACTGATATTGTTTCCTTTTTATTTTCTTCAGGAAATAAATAGCTTCATTGCAAGAAATATTTACTAAGTGTTATTAGTTAGTTGTTCAAAATGCTTTATTAGAATTTGAATTGTAAGTTATTGTACCAAAGTGCCTTGAGTAGTATTTGCCTCCATGATTTTCAGTCTTACTAATTGTAACTTAATTGCCAAAGTGCTTTTTAGTTTTATTTTCTGCCTTGACTTGATAGAAGAATGTGCTTATGACCAGCTAGAGACTGTGAGTTTTCTGCACTGATTTTTCTATCAACCATGGCTTAGCTAAAAAGTAATGTTTTTTCAGTATCATTTACTGTGAGTTAGATGCAAAAGTGCTTTAAGTAGTATTTGCTGCCATTCTTTTAGAGAATGTACGTATGACCAGCCAAAGGCTATGATTTTTCTGTACTGTTTTTCTATAACTATGGCTGAGCTAAAAAGTAATTTTTTTTCAGTCTCATGGACTGTAAGTTAAATGTCAGAGTGCTTTTTAGTAGTATTTGCTGGCTCAAGTGTAGACCTTTTGAAATTTTGTTAATCTGGCAAATTTTACATTTTACTTTCCTGGTGTTGCAATTTTTAACAATCTGATATTTCTTAATTTCCACATATGCTACTTTATAGTCCTCTTACTCCTCAAAGAAAACACATTTTACATTTGTGTTATTTACAGAGTTACAAAAAATGTTTCCTGCCATTCCTCACCAAACAATTTCAGTGGAAGACAGTTTGGTTGGTTTGGTTTCATTTGTAACACATTTTGTTTCCTGGTGAATTGAATAATCTGTCTTGTGGCAGAAAGCTCATATCTTTACATAGTGAAGTAAAGTAGGATTGATCTTCAAGGTGTCTGTGCATTAATGAACTTTGTTCTTATAGGAGTTTCACAAGAATGGTATAGGGGAGGTTAAAATATGAATTAATCCTTTTCTGGGTTTGTGTTACACTAAGATTTTATCTTCATTTACATCAAACATGTACATGACAGCTGAACATTTGACATCCACTCAACCATCTTGAAAGTACATTCTGCACCCAAAAATAGTCCCTTGTTTCAACTGATATCCTGTCCCAATCACATGCCTTCATTGCTCCATTTGTATGCATTTGTCTACACAACAGCTTTGTTTGCTACCATGGCAAATCATTTGTTCTCAAAGCCATTGGAGCAGTTCATGCCATCCCAGCAGTATCCTGGTCTGATGTTAAATCTGTTTGAAGGAGGGTCTGGGCCCTTGTACGCAGGTTTCTCTGTCAAAAGATATGCAAAAGCATGGCAGATTATTGGTCACACAATTTATTTTTCCAAGAGTGCAAAAAAAAAATCCTTGATGCTACTTGACTTAGGCCAAGTGAGCTTCAAATTAAAGGGACAGAAGTATCTGACAGTTATCAGCTGCTTTTTTTCTTCACAGCATAGCTGGCTTTACCAATAATGTTTGGTTAGAATTATAATTAAGCATGACTTTGACTGACTGAAGCAAAACCAAACCCAAAATGCATGTGTTATAACAAAAGCAAACCATAACAATCAATATGTCACTGAAACCATAGAGAACTAAAGGTAACTTACATGTGAAGCTACTGGTACCTTAAGGGGGAAGTGTGTTCCATAAAACCACATAATTGTTATTACCATGATGAAAAATTGTAAGTGAAATTTGTGCAGCAACTGTAAAATGAAGTTTCAAAAGGAGACAACACTTAGAACTTAAATTGATCACATTAAAGATACTGACAATGATCTCCCTACTATTAACCAAATACACCTCAACATCAGTATGCATATTCTCCACACTGTTCTCTATACATTTCCTAAGGTGCTGACAAGGAGAATTTGTTTATCAATCAAGAGCTCCTTCACTTGGTGATCATTTCCTTTATTTTTGTGCCCTAACTATGTAATTCAGGGATGATATTGTAAAGAAAATTAAAAGATACAAGGACCAATATTAGTATCTGGGCAACTGCACACCTACCCCTCCCCTAACCCAACATTAACCCTAGCTTGTTATCAATTGACTGTTGTTGAGTTAGGGGAGGGGTAGGTGGGCAGATGCAATTCACTCTCAGGGGTCAAAGGGTTAGACATCAATCAGTGTGGTAAAAAAAAAATTCATAATTTCTTCTGTATCATTGGATCATCATCCCTTTCCTGATCTTTCGACATTTTATCTAGGTCAACATCATCACAGTACCGAGCCAGTGGTTTATCCACTTAATATAGATAATCAGCAACCTTTTCCTCATTTTCTCTAGTTTGTGCCACCCTGTTGACAAAGAGAAAATGCAAAAATCATAGTTTAAAAAAAACAAAAACGACTAACAACAACAAAAAACCAAAAAGTTTAGATTAGGTTTACAGTTGCCTGGAGTTGACAGTGCTCTCTCTCTCTCAATTTTGATATTATTTTTGGCCTAAAGGCACCACTCAGGATCAAGAGAGAGAGAAAACATTTTTAATCATGGTAGCACATTATATGATTAAAAGATAACATGTACACATCTACCACAAAAACCCAACAAGATGTGTTGTTAGCTTTAACACTAAACAGTATTTATAAAATTCACAAATGCCTGCAGTTTGGAGTTCCTGAAAACTTTCTTCAGATGTGCTGAATATTCAAGTTTGGATGCTGCCACATTGAATGTACATGTACCTCTGACTCAGTAACCCTGAAACATAAGTATGAAAATACAAGTTCCACCCAAATGATCTGAACTAAATCCCATAGTTCACAAGCAGCTACTCCTCTGGTTACTGAGGAAGCTCTTTATTCCGGATAACAGAGCCTTTTGTCTATCTTGTTGTTGTTGAAACAGTCAGTTATGCAATAGAAACAAGTGATACAAGACTCTTATGTCACTGGAAAGAAGTACCTACATGAACAAGATTCAAAATGACTGCATGGTAGGTGAATTTTTGCCACTCTATGAAGTTCTTTCAAAGGTGAAAATTCACTATGTCCCATTTAAATATTAAATACTTTTTGATGGGAGAAATAAAATTAAATGATCTCTGGAGTATACGTCTCCTTTAAGGACTGCATGATGTTGGAAGGGTCAGGAGTGGGAATGGTTCTCCTTAAATATCCTTACATTATCCAGTAGAAACAGGTAACAAGAGTATCTTGATCTCTCACCAAATTCTCTAATTTAAGTTTCAGTGGAATGTGTGACAGCTAGAAGGGAGGGTCAACAACCAGATCTTGGGAGTTTAAGGGTTAAGAGTTTGTTACACAAGTTTTCATTTGACTTTACATGTAACTACACTTACCAGACTTGTCTTCTGTAACATTCTTTCTCAACTTACAACCTTGTTACCTGAAAGAGGAATAATACCAGTATGTCCAACTTTTATAACAAGACTTACATGGCACTGAACATTTATGCAGATGCACACAATGATGCAACATATTTGAAGTTTTACATTTAATAGAGAAAATAGACTGAACTACATTCCATGTGGCCTTATACACACAAAAACCAAATGATCCATGAGTAATTTTTCCATGTATTTACTTAAAATATTTGGAAAATTCTGAACAGGATAAAAAACCTCCATGAAAATTAAAAGCTAGCTCTCACATTTTGTTTGTTTTCTTCACATAAAAAAAAACCAAACTAGACAATTTTCCCAAAAAATAATTCTGATGTATAGTGCCCTTAATTTGTTTTGAAGCTACATTCTTGTTTTGTTGCTCTGGTTCCATGAATTCTAAGTTCCCTGAGATTTGAGAAACTCAGGAAATCTTGTGGCTCAATTTAACTATCAAACTTACCAAGTTTGTTTTGGATGTTGAAAGTTAACACCACTGTAACTTGTAAGTCAGCACTACCATTCTTTCTGATCAGCACTCTGGTGAACCTGGATGACAAAAAATAATTGTGTAAACAAAAAGTAAATTACAAAATACTCAATATTGAAAGGATAATGCTTCCCTGTACTGTGGTAACTATCTGCTGTGTTCAATAAAGTTTTCTTTATCTTCATAACAGACCATAAAAGTGTATCTTGGTTGGACTGATCGTCTCTTAACCACATTAAAGGAGATGAAAAGTCAGATCCTCCCAAAGTAGCTTATTCATCAAAAGCAAATGTTTGGTGGCAACAGACAGCCACTGTAATCTCAAATAAAATCATAATCCCCTTCAATCTCTCTTCCAAAATCATTAAAAACCATGACATTGGTGGCAATGAAATATTTTAGTACTGTTGTAGGTTGTATTCTTAAAATTAATTGGAAAGAAAACAACACTATATTTCCTAAGATATCCACACTATCTTTTAAAAGGGGTGCTAATTAAGTCACAGTTACCATTTCTTGAAAAATTTATCCCACCATTGGAAACCTTTTCTTGGTTTCTCCATCCTTTGTGATTTTTGTCCCTATTAAGCTTATATTCATTTGTCAAATTTTTTTTAATATGCTTGGTGTCCATCTAAATTTACTCAAGGGAAATTCTGTAGTTTGATACAAATTGAAGACACTTTGAGCCCAGAAAAAACACGATTTGAAATACCTTGACAATGCACCTTGATTTAAATCCATTATAATAGAGCTAGTTGAAAAAATGAACCCAAGGTGAGGTCCCTCCTTGTACTTTGTTAGTGAAAGTGAATTAAAGTTGAAAGTCCTAGGACTGAGGTCCTTTATTATTCTAACACCAATGACAAGGTTGAAAGGAATGTGAAGACATATGATCTTAGAGATTTACCAATCCTTCAAATCACCCAAGCTCTATGGATTACTCTTTATCTCCTCCAACAGTGCCACACCAGGCAACTTGATGTGTCAATCTCAGAACAAAATTGACGCAAATGTTCTAAAAGGTAGGTTTACAGACATGAAATTAATGCGAATTTGGTGCAATACAAACATCTCAATATACATACTTATAGGAAAAAAACAGCAGCATTTCCAGTGATTGTAAGCTCATTGTTATCATGTTATTACTCAGTAAATGGATCAAGAGAAGGAACACTCCCTTGGATGAATGGGACATCTAAACTTTAATAAGAAAGACTGAAGAAGTTAGCTATTCCTTCAGAGAAACAGATCAATACAAAGATTGACACCAAGTTAAAGATATTTTCAAAATTTCAGAATATATTGTGTGGCTAGATTCCAAAAATTTATCCTTGCAAAAGTTTTTTTGCAACAGCAGTATATTACATGCTAAAACAGCTTACCCATGTGGCACAAAATTTTTGTGGGTTCTTAATTTTGCAGTTTCTTCCATGATACACAAAAAAAGTTCTTAAAAAAAAAAAAACAAAACCCCCTGCAAAATTTTTTCCTAAAAAAAATTTACTTCACTGTAGATGAACCCTAACACTAACTGCATGTGACTTCTTGAAAATTTCAAAAATTAATTCCCAGCAAGAAAAACCTCTCCATCCAATTACAAAAACGCTGTTAAGTTTTATTAACACTATAATCATCTGAGATCCCATCCAAATGATCAATGTATTCTGTAATAAGACTGTCTGTGATAAATAAAAAAACTGGAACAAACTTCAAAGGAACAAGAATATTTAGAAATTCTAGATAATTTCACAAAAATACATTAATTTTAAGTCTTCTTCTACCTAAAAATCTAACTATTTAATCTTATTATGTCCATGAGTTCATGTTAGACAAGATATTTTTGTATAGACCTCAAATTTTTTAAGTAAAAAAAAAATATAGCTTGGAACCTCTACAATGCACTTAGAACAATCTATAATCTACCAATTATAATCATGCATTAACCCTTTACACCCTAACATCAGCATCCATATTCTCTATACTCTTCTCTATATGTTTCCTTTGGTACTGACGTGGAGAATTTGTTTAATCAAAGTTTCTTTGGGTGGCGATCATTTCCTTAATTCTCATGATCTTAACGAATGACTTGGCCATATTACTGAAGGAAGAAATTTTTATGCTGGTCACTCTCAGGGTTTGAAGGGTTAAACAACCATTGTTGCCATTTGCAATAATTTAAATACAATCTTTAATCACCAATCCAGTCCACTAAATTACAAAAAGGGAAAAAACTAAAACTTTGGCCTAGCTTTGAAGCATAATTGGTAGCATTTTTTAAAATTATAGAGTGTAATTTGAATATAAAATAGAAATGTCTACAAATTTGTACATCTCTAAGCAAAATCTATCTTACATGTAATCTGCCAGCTCATTCGCATTTTCTTGATATATTACATAAACAAACCCTTGAAATAATTTTGCTTACATACCTTTATAACTCATTTCTATCTCCTCATAGAGGGTAAAAGACATCAATCTTCTTTGTTTCCTTTTTATCACTATTTTATCTCTCTTTGCTGCTTAATGAAAATAAACAAAGATGCACCTCCACTAAGTTTGAACACTTTTGAGAATGCTATTAGATTGTTTAACATAAACTTATATGAACATAATATGATTGAGTAAAATTATCAGCTAATGGATAATTTGAGTCTTTTCCAAAAGATATCCCCAAAGAAATGTATAAAGCAAATATATTTTGCTGCAGTCAGTAACACAAATGTCCCTCTTCTTTCTGTTGTTGTCAGACACCATATTCTGGAAGAGAGTCAGTTAGTTTGTCAATCAATCAGTCAGTGAGTCATTCAGTGGTTTCGAAAAATACTACTGCACCTCGCTGATTGGAACTCATTGATAAACAATCATTTATACTCCTAGGAGCAAAAATCTGGATTGAACTCCACAGTGAACTCAAATGTTTTGGAAATCTGGATATCTTCAGGAAAAAGACTTAAATTATCCACAAGCTGATAATTTTACTCAGTGATCATATCATATTCATAAATTTATGTCAGACAAAATCTTCTTTTATGATCCTTTGTTTTTTCTCCTATTTTTCACTCTAAATATCATTAATGCTTGTTGCTGGAAAACTTTACCTGAGAAGCTGAGGAAAGAGTTAGGATTGTGACAAAAAATCACCTGAATGAGTTTACCTATTTTAAGAAGCAGACTGTTTTGGATTTCCAAAAAGGTTGGGGGTCCATAATTAGTCTGTTGGAAGTTATGAGGGCAGAGATCACTTAAGTATATATTTATGGGGGTTCCAGGGGGATGGGGCTCACACAGAAATAGGGGACAGAGAATTTTCAGGAACCACCTAAACCAGTCAGTTGGCCATTTATGCAGCTTTTGATGGATGACACCAGTTTTGTAGTTTGACTGCGTGTCTAAACATGAATTGTAAAAGTTATTTTATTATTGCCTGCTTATAATTAACTTAATTTTCGAAGATGTGGAGTTTGCGAGTCTATATTATTTCTTTCTCACAATTCATAACAAAGTAAGAAATACATCACAGCTGTTATGCATTCGTAAATGTAGAAGAACCCCTTTGGAGCTCAATGAACACCTATGTAGCCTTAAACTTGCTGCTGAGCTTCAATTTTTCTTTGAGGTAGTAAGTCTTACCGTGTGAGAAGTAAACAAGACTTTCTATAATCCAAGTATTTGTAAACTTCTGCATCTTATCCTGACCCAAGCCTTCAAAAAGAGTAAACTTGTGTCGGAAAATATTAAGAAAGATCTTTAAAGCGCCAGAAATATAGAGCATGCCCTGGAAAAACGAGGAATAACTTTAAGTTTTCCGACAACTTATCCTTCACGCGCAACAACATCTTGATCCCAGGTGCTTCTCGGCTTTCAAAAATACAGCCATTTTGAAAACCGAGAGGCCCCTGGGAACGAAACTGTGTTCAACGGCGGTTCTCGACCGAGTCGCTCTATGCATACCGTTGGAAAGACTGCAGGGACGTAGAAAGGAATTTCCTTTTGAGTTCTTAAACATGTAATGATAATATTTTGAATAAAAATTCAACTTGATTTTTATCGATAAATGACATTCGAGGAAAAAAGTATCTGCGAAAACGAGAAATTGACAGATAAATTGATACTCGTGGAACAACTTTGAAACACTTATAATTAATGTTTGATAGATTCTTCATGTAAGCAATTGTCAGGTCACTATCTCTTACATTCTCAATTTATTTTTGTATTAAATCATTTCGTTAGTGTCTCGCGCACATTATCAGTTTTCTGTTGTATTCTCATTGCTACGTCAGTATCGCGCGCATTCTCAGTTTTTTTTCTGTGTTAAATTGTCACGTCATTATCGCGCACATTCACAGTTTTCTTTTTTATTAAATTGTTACGTCAGTATCGCGCACATTCTCAGTTTTTTCTGTAGTAAATTGTTACCTTATCTCGTGCGTTCTCATTTTTCTCCTGCTTTCTGTTGTTAAGTTAGCATCTCGCGTATTCTCGTTATTCCCTTCTAATCAATTGT